ACGTCCCCGCCCCTACTCCCAGGCCGCACCCTCTGCGCTTGCTAAGTGTGTCCTGGCTGAGGTGCCCAGGCAGGTGGTGGAGTACTACGCCAGCCAGGGCATCAGCCCAGGGGCTCCCAGGCCTTGCACACCAGCCACGACCCCCAGCCCTAGCCCATGACTGCCTCCTACTGGACCGACACTCCCTCAGCCTCTCAGTGAGTCCTGGGGGCCCAAAGGGGTGGACAGGGGTGCAAGGTGGTGTTTGGTGGAGCCCATCTGGGCTCAATGTTGTGTAGAGGAAGGTGCTTATGACTATCCCCCCCGTCCCAGGTGCCTGTCCTGACCCTTGTGATTCGAGTGACCAGTGCCTCTCCCTCTTGGACCGGCTGTGCCCCCTAGGTCCTGGAAGTGCGTGGTGAGCCCTGCTCTATCTCTCCAGGCCCCATACCCCTCAGCCTTGTGACTTTCTTCAGTGATCCTGACTTTCTGGCCATTAATAAAGGGAACCACTCCTAGCACCTCAGCCTCTATCCATCATGTCTCAGATGCCCAACACCCACCCAACCATACACGCCATTAAGAAATGAGGACCAGCACCTTTCAAAATCTGAGCCAGAGCTCCCCAGCAGCTTGGTATCTCAGCAGTTTCACCCCAACTGTGTGCCAGTGGGATCTGATGAGCCCTTACCCTCACCTCCCAACCCCAGGGGGCCCAGCACCATGAAGGTTAATTACCAGAGATGGGGGGGTGGGTAATAAGGGGCTGTCAAAGGGGCAGGTTGATGCCCTCTTACAGCTGCCTCCAGAGAAGCCCAGCTGAGTCCCCCATGAGCTGAGCTCCAGCCCCCACGCAGCTGTGGGGCGGGCCGAGAAGGGGTGTTGGGCGGGGACTGAAGGAGGGCAGCAGGTCTGTTAATGAATTATGAATATAAAGGGAGCATCTAAGGTCTGTGCAGCCTGGTTTTCCTGGGTGTGCGAATGTGTGTGCTCATGCACTGCACATCCCTGCCTGTCCATGAGTGTGGTCTTAATGTAATGGTTCAGGAAGTCAGGCTGGGTACTCTTAATAACATTAACAACAGCAGTAAAACGTTATTGTTTGGCATGTGCTAAACTTTGTGCTACGTGCTTTAAATGTACCCACTCTCACAAATCAAGTGACGTTCCATTTAAATTCACCCATCATCAAAGAACTGGTGGGCCTGGAACTTGAGCCCAAACCCATCTGTGCCCACACTCTTAATCACTAGTGTGCAGCTTCTGTGAAGTGTATCCATGTGAGCCTCATCTTGAGATTCAGGTGTATGCTTATGTGGGCTGATTGCGTGTATGGGGGTAGGTGCCTGTGAATGGCATTTCTGCCCATGTGTGTGCTGTGCAGGAACCCAGCCAGTTAAGGAAGGTGTGCAAGAGTGGTGTTGGGTCTGGACTGCAGCTCCAGAGAGCAGGCGAGGACACAGGTGATATCCAGAGCAAGAGAAGAGATGGGACCCTGGAGGGACCCTCCCTGCCCCAGCCTCTTTCTTCAATGATGCATATGGAAGGAGATGAAGGAGGAGAGGCTCTGTGAGCCACTCAGATAGAGGAGCCAGAGCCAGAGAGGGTGGCCGGTGGCCAGTGGTAGAGAAGGAGAGGAGAAGAGAAAGAAATCCTGGGGGAGATGGAGGAGATGCCTCCCATTGCAGGCTCCTGAGTGGAAGAGGGATGAGCTGGGCTAGAGGAGGGGGAGGAGAGAACAAGAACTGTGATGGGAAGAGACAGCTGGGGAGGGGGTGGATAGAGGGGGCAGAAAGGAAGAGAGACATATGGGAGCCTCTTCTCCACCCTCGACTGCTTCTCCCTATTTATTATGTCCCTTAGAGGACCTACGACAGTGGCTGGTGAGGTAGCTGCTCCCAGCTCAATGCCTCTGCTCTGCCCAGAGCCCCCGCCTACTCTCTCTGTAGGCAGATGAACCAAAGGGCTGGGTAACCATGGCAACTGTGGGACCTCAGGATAGCCATAGGCAGGCCTGGCCCAGTCACTGATGCTCCTCGGCTTCTGTGCAGTGGTGGTGGGAGGAGGAGGCTCCATCTGGCCCAATCCCCACGCTTCCACCCCATTTTCATTGGGCCTCCAGAACTGAGACACAGTGCGTGCACGTGTGTGCGCGCGCGCGCGCACACACACACACACACACACACACACACACACACACACACAGGAACCAGGAGCCAGGCTAAAGAATGAACACTTCTTAAATTGCAAGAACATTTAGCCAATAGTGTAAAGTTCTGCCTGAACTTCAAGTTTAATTCACAAAAACCACACTCTTTCAGCATCTTGTCATGCTGGGCAAAGGCTCACCTCAGCCCTCAGCAAGGCAGGAGGTAGCAAGGGTACCCTATGCAGGTCTGGAGGCCAAGGCAGCTTGGAGAGAGCAGCAGAGGAGCAGCGCATGGGCTCATCCACCGCCTAGGCTGCAATCAGGAAGCAGGAGCAGGACAGGAAGTCCATTTGGTGAGGTTGTCTTGGGGGGTTCTTGGGAAGACTCTTGGGGCTCCTACACCAAGGAGATGCCAGAACTGGAAAGGTGTCAGAAGTCATCCAATCCAGGATTAGATGAGGTAACCAAAACCCAGGGAGCAAGTGATTTTCTCAAGGTGACAGAGGTATCCTGTGGCAGAGCTGGGCCTAGCACCCAGGTCTCCAGACTCCTGCCCAGAATTCTCTCCCAGTCGGCACCAACCACCCCTACAGTTCCTCAGGCCTTTGCTGTTCTGGGCCCTGGCGGCCACTGGGTTGGATAGGATGAAAGCCTCATGGATAGAGTTCCTAGTTTGTCTTGTTGGTGATTGAAATCTTGAAAAATGCAGTAGTCTTAAAATGGGGTGTTTACAAGCCTCAGAATGAAAATACTGCTTCATTGCTAATTACCACCTTAATGCACTACAGGTTGAAAACCTTGAATTAAAATCTAAACTGAGGGGGAAGTCACACCACTCCCTCTCCTCCCATTCACTGTCACCCAGCTATCATCCGCGCCTCTTCTTACCCGCCCCCCACCACAACAGTCAGGGCACCGGCTCCTCCAGATCTCAGTGTCCTGGTCAAGTGGGGCGGAACAGGAGGTGGAGGGCTGTGTATGCTACCTGCCTGCGAAGACCTCTCTCCCAGAAAATGACCAGCCTCTAACGTCGGAGCATGCCTTGAGGGTCCAGGAAGTTCGGGCATATTTATGTAGTCATACAACAGAGTGTCTGGCACCAGAAGGCGCTAGTAACCATCTAGTGAATGGCAAAGTGGCCTTCTAGGTGGTGTCCCCCACCCACCTACTACACCACTCGGCGGCCCCTAGCAACTCAGAGGAAGAAGTGGGCGTGGTCCCCGGCCCCGGGGCCGCTCGAGGTCAGCCGGTCACAGCGAGCCTTGTAGAGGTCGCGCTCCCTGGCCAGGCGGGCCACCTCGGCCCGCAGCGCGTCCAGCTGGGCGGCCAGGCGGGCGCGCTCAGCCTCTAGCCCCCGCCGCTGCTGCAGCCGCTTGGAGCGGCAGGCCTGCGCGTAACCGCGGTTTTTCAGCGTGCGGCGCCTCTGCTTCAGCCGCAGCGCCTCGTCGCGCCCGCAGCCCCGCAGCTGCCGGTTTAGCTCCCGCACAGACATCGACACCAGCGCCGCGTCCGAAAACCGCTCCGCCAGCTGCAGAGGGAGAGGGCAGAGAGCGGGTCAGCGCTGGGTCCCTCCCCGCTCCACACTTAGGTCGCGAGCCGGACTACCCCGCCCTCGGGAAGGCTCCGCCCTCGGCCCCCACCTTTACCAGATGCTCGCCCTTCCTCAGAATCTACCCCGCAGTCCAGACCCCGCCCCATATCCCAACAAGCCCCTCCTCCCCGAGGGGCGCGCTCCCCCTTTGGGTCCGCCCCGCACTGCAGGCCCCGCCTCCCACGGTCTGGCTAGCGGGTCGCGCGCCTGAAATCCGCGCCGCTGCAGCGAGGTCCTTAGCGTCCTGCTCCAGGCTCACCGGGTGTCCGGCGGACACGGCCCAGACGGAACCCGCCCCGCCAATGCACCTCGCTCCCCTGTCCTGAAGGCCGCAACCCTGTGACCCTCAACGGATTTGGATTACATCCTAATGCCCTCAACACCCCCATCTGTGTCTATAATTAATAGGATGAGTCCCAATCCTTCCTGAGAAGGTTGGGGGCTGGGGAAGCACGATGTCTTGAAAAGGCCAACCTCATTCCCGTGCCCGCTGTCTCAACTGCACTCAATTCCAAGTGCAACTCTTTCCCTGGTTTCCACAGACGGAGTATATTTGCCTCTCGTAATCAACGGCTCTCCTTTAATTCTCAACTCTCCCCTTTTGGTCCTCTTTTAATCTTTTCTCCCTCTTCCTCCTGGTTTAGACTACTCATTTCTCTCCATTTGGGGAAAAGGGAGGGGGCAGAAGATAGTTTTCTCTCTCTGATTTTTTTCAAGGGCCCTTGTCTTCTCCTGCCCTCTGTCTCTTGTCCAATCCATAACCCTCTCCAGGAATTCTCCTTCCTCTCTTGGGCTGTCCTCCCTCACCCTGCCTCCCCTCAAACCAACTCACTGATCACTCACCTGGGCATGCTGGGCTCCTGTCTCCTCCGGGCTTCCTGGGTAGTAGCTGTGGGGCCCCTCAACAGGGACTGGCCCCTGACCCTGCAGCAGCTCAACAGCCTCTTCAGGACTCAGGCCCAGTGCCTCCCCAGCCCCCAGCTGCTGCTGCAAGGTGGCCAGCCAGTACAGCTCCTCCAGGCCTGGCCGGGGGGCCTCAGTGGCCCCCACCATGCCTGGATCACTGAAGGTGGGTGAAGGAGGCACTGAGCTGTAGGGTGTGGAGCCCAGTGAGGCTGTTGGGGGGCCAGATCGCCCCTCAGAGGGTTCCCGCTTTACCTCAAATTTCATCAAGTCAAAGTCATTGACGTATTCCATAGCCAGGGGGCTGGGAGGCAGTGCCATTCTGGGGCTGGAGTGGGGGGGTGCACCTGCAAAAAAAGAAGAGAGATTTGGAGCACCTGGAGGCTGCCTGCCAGCCTCCTTATGGGAACCTCCTTCTTCCAAAGTCCAAGTGTTCTGGAGAGCCACAGTTCTGGAAAGCAGGGGCAATGGTGCAACCCTGTTCCCTAAATAGTCACCTCTGGACTGAGGCAACTTTTCAGGTTGGCAGGGGCTCCAGCAAGCAGCTTAAAGGCCTGATTGAAGAAGATGAAAGCATGGAGTCTGGTCCCACTGTTGCCTCTGGGAGCTTTGAAAAACAAGAAGAATATGGCAGTACTCCCAACTCTAGTGCTGGGACAGACTGAGAGGCTCTGTCATCTCAAGAAACATCATTCCATTTCCAAGCAATCAAAAATTTTTGCTTAATTAACTGTAACAGAGTAGGTGTCTATTTTAGGACAATGGGAAGGTATGTATGAGGTGAATTTTAATATATAGGGATAACGTTGTTATATCTCTCTCTCAGAACACCTAGGCCAATGCCTTGCACTAGAAGATCCTCAATGCACATCTATTCTGTGGGTTAATCAATCAATTAATCCCTTTCATAGGAGCATGAGACTTTCCAAGGGAAAAAGAAAGGTCCTAGAGTCAGTTCTAGCAAGATCAGGACTGAGTGGTGACCATCTTTCCCCAAGCCAATCTCTCCAAAGAGAACCAACCAAGATTGGTTTTCCTCCTTCTATTCAGAACCTGCTATGTTGTATGAACTTGGACGGATCACCTGACCCCAGTTTCCCCTTCTGTTCAATAAAGGCAATTAGACCTTCACATTTCCCAAAGAGTGTTCCAGGAAACACCAAGTGTGAGAAATACCCAAGAAGAAGTCGATGCTCAGATAAATTTGAGAAATGCTACCTCCTATCCCCACGTTTTGCAGATTCACAAAGCACAGCAACATATTAATCTATGAAGTCCTTCAGTAAACCATCTGTTCAACCTCAACCCAGAGCATCCCAAACTTATGTCACCCAGGAGCTCTCCTCCCTGTTATCATGCAGAGTGTGTGCTCACCTGAGGAACCTCAGGCTAGATGACCTCAGGAATCCTTCCTGAGCCAGAAGTCTCACACTCTAGCCCAGCTTCCAGTTCCAATAGCCCCACTGCCAGCCCCCGAAGGGGCAAGACAGGGAGTGCTTATCCCCAGTGCTTGGCATCTGGTCCCATCTTGATACCCCAAGCCTACGTAGCTCTCTCTCTAGACATCTCATACGCTCAGGCTCTGCCCAGAGAGGTGAGAGGAAGGACAAGTCCTTGTGTCTTCCTGTCCCAGGGAAGGGTTGTTGCCCTATCTACTGCACCCCTCACCCTTGAGAGGACAGGGGTGGTAGGAACAAAGGCACAGATTGAAGGAATGATCCTTGGCAGGGAGGCTATGGTGAAACAGTGAGAGAGGTGTCCAGAGAGAACTGAACGAAGAGATAAGTGAGGAGGGCTATTTATCTTTCTGATGTGATAGCAGTAAGGGACATAAAGCCAGCCAGGGTGAGAGTGGGGCAGGGGAAAGAAGTGTGAGGATTCTTGACAATAGACAGCAGAGAGCAGACAGCAGGTGACAGAGGCGGAGGCTATAGGTGAGAGGCCTGGCACCCAGGTAGGCCCCAAATATACTCACTTGGGGGATGGTAAAGATGATGTGGTCAGTGTCAGAGCCAGGCAGGCACAGTTTCCTCAGAGACTGGAGACCCCATTGATCAGGGCCTGGTGCCTCTGTGCTCAGAACAAGGCGCTGTGGGCACTGAGCCCACAGGGCACTCTTAAAGGGCCAGCTCTCTGAGGTCATCTGTGGTCCTCCGGCCTGCAGCCAATGAGGTAAGGGGATCATTTGCATATCTCACTGGCCTGGGGGGTTGAGGGGGGAATGAGAAGAGGGAAGACGATGAGTATGCCTGTTCTCAAGGAAGGAAAGGGGGCATTTTCCCCAATAAAGTTCCTCATTGATGGTCCATCTCACAGGTGCTCAGTTCCCTGGTACAGAGAGCTGCATTGGCCCAGTCAGCCACCCTCATGTGAATACCACCCGCAGCCCTCAGTGATTGAGAACCTGGGACTGGAAAAGAGGCCCAGAGAAGCTCCCGGCGCCCTCACCCTCCAATGCTCTACAGTGCCTTGGCAGTTGTTTTGGGGAATACAAACAGTCTGAACCCACTTTCACCTAGCCAGTTGGGTCAGTGGTTCTGCTTTCAGGAATCTTCACATTTCTGGCCCCCTGCCTCACTCCCACTGTGACTGGCCACACACTCCTCACAGCTATCCTATTAGAAAGACAGGCAACTGTCCCCACGGTGAATCGCTAGGACTTGGCTACCCAATCCGCAGCCTCTCCCACTCTTGATGACCAGTCCCAGGACAGGCAGGCCAGCGGGAAGGAGCAGGAGAAGGGAGAGTGGGGATCTCTGCTCCTTCTTTCCGGGCCACCTCGGGACACTGAAATCTAATCACCACCAATCCATCTGACTTCTGTAACTGCCCTCACACGCCCTCTGCTTCCTCTCGCCTTTTCCCTGCGTGTGTCTCCGTCCCTCTCTCTTCCTCTCTCACTCATCCTGGTTCCCAGATGGCTAGGGGGTGACCTACATTTTCAGCCTAATCCCCTAACACCTCTTAGAGCTCTTATCCCTGAGTAGAAGTTGGAACAGGGATACTAGGAATTAGCTAAGGAGGTGTTTAAACCTGTCTGAAGCTGTTTAAAACAAGGTGTGTACTAGAATAGAACTTTATTCCCTACCTGGTGAGGATACCCAAATGTTCCTGTGGGGTTCACAAGTCCTCTGTCCCAAGTCAGAGATCTGGGTGTCCATCAGCCCTAAAGATCATCAGTTATAAAAATTAACACGGTCCCAGTCTTAGGTGTTGGGTGAAAAGCTGATAGGTTCAGATGGCCTAAAACAATGGTTCTCAAAGTGTGGGCCCCAACCAGCAGCATTACCTGGGAACTTGCTAGAAATGCATATTCTCTGGCCTCACCTCAAACCTACTGAATCAGAAACTCTGGGCTTGGGACCCCCCCGCCCTCAAAAATCTGTGTGTTAATAAGCCTTTAGGCAACTTTGATGAACACTGAAGTTTGAGAACCACTGGTCCACAGAATACCTACAGTCAATTCAGCTTCCCTGTGTGTGTGCATGGTCTCTCCCATCATGCTCTGTACGCACATATAAGAAGATCTAGATCAGATGACATCATTCTTTTCCCACATGTGTTCTGCATTTCGTGGAGCAGAGACCACAGTCGTTATTCAAGTAGTAAGGCTTCTCAGTGTGATTGCCTGGATCCAGTTGTTTTTCCAGAAGAACAGAGCCTAGGAACAAGGCCACTTAATGGGAATGGGGATCATAGAGACCAGGGAATCTCGCGTACATGTCCATGGAATGTGGCTTTGAGGCACATAGCCAGGAAAGAGACCCCAGAACTTCCTGTGCTGCAGAAAGAATAGGAAGTGTTGAGTGCAGCCCCTTTCTCATGCCTGGTCTGTCCAGACACTTGCCCCCGAGCAGCTGTCAGGTCTGTGCTGATCTTCTTGTTTACTGGAGGGCTCAAAGGAAAGGTTTGGGGGAGGGGGTGGCTAAGCTGCTAATGGGCTAAAAGAGTCAGACTAAACAAGCTCAGGCAAGCTGAGCCGCTCAGGGCTCAGACCAGGTGCCACTGACTAGGGAAAGGAGTCCGGGAAGTGAGGGCTAGGCCAGAGGAAATGGGCAAGGGCACAGAGACGAGAGGCCGCGGCAGCCAGTGGGGACCCAAGAGGTAGTTAATGGGCCCCCTTGGTGGGGGTGGAACCAGGGCCTGGGAGATGCATACTGAGACTGACTGGCTCGAGGACATCTGGGGACCGGGAAATGAGAGTGAAAAAGATGAAGGCAGGTGGACTTCAGAAATGACAGAACAGAGAAAGGGAGGCAAGAAGGCTTAGCTGAGGGGGCAGTAGGTATAGACCTGGGATGGAAGGCAGAACAAGTCGGTGGCTCCCCACAGATTTGTACGAAAGGAGTTGGAGGGATGTAGGCACATGGAAGAGGTGGGCAAAGGGCCATGACAAACTAAAAGAGAGAGGAGGTCTTCTTTTTTTT